CAGAACAAATTGAGTTTAATGGGGATGAGGCGGGGTGAGGTGGGGTGAGGCAGGGTGAGCTGGCGATGGGGGGGTAGACGAAGAAAGAGCTGTAAAAACACACCACATGCTACTCCAAACTTGCCTCCAAAGAAGAGAAGAGTAGCATTAATGCAACATTACTCCATACAGCAGATCCAACTCTCACAGGCGACCACTTCAGGCCATTTTTCATGAACTTGAACGTGTCTGGAAACTTTGGGCAGCCGTAAAAGCAAACTTAATTTTTCACACTTTCCCAGTGTAACTACACTGTCAAACATCATCCATCATTTTTACTCTAAGCAGGTTAAACCGTTCACAGTCATTGGCAGATATTGGCTGACCCACGTCTTGTATACACGTAAAACACTGACATGAGTAGACAAAGCTAACAGTACAATGCTCTTCATTTCTCCGGTCTACTATGAACGTGGCCAACATATTTAGGGACACATTCTCGCTGTGAAGTGCAGTGTCCTTGATCTTTACCAGATTCCCCTCTAGAGTATATTAATTTGGGTAAGCATGACCTGCTAAAGGTCAACTAAAAGGCAAAAAGCTCTGCTGAATTAATTCTTTCAAGAGGTTCTCTGCCATGACATTGTTAAGAGTTACTTTAGTTAGATCAGCAAGTGTGACACTTTCTACACCAATTAGTATGAACGGGTAAACTTAAATATCTAAATGAACTAACAAAAGAGTGTTTAAACAATATAAAAGTGAATGGGAATAGAATAAATGCTCATCTTACTTTGTTTCTCTTGCACCGTGACCAGTGCATCACTCTCATTGCTGCATGTTCACACGGCAATAGACTACAAGTGCATGTGTCTTGGTGTGTTTCAGATCTTCAAGTGTTAACTTCTGTGCGCCCAAGTGCACCGGGCTAAGGCACTTTTTTTTCCCTTTCTCACCTTGTTGACCTTTTAATTCTGCCACGATCCCGAGGACTTACCCTCACAATCTCAGTGGGAAATAAATTACTCTCAAAAGCTATGAGCTCCTCAAATCCCTTTATCCTGGACCAGTCCAGGCAATAACCTGGACATCAGAGGAGTGATAAAACACTATTCCCCCAGGAGAAGACTAAAGAAGTCTGCTACAACTGCCACTGATTTCATAGTACAAAGAACTGGCCCGAGACAAAAGAAAAGATTCTTGTACCTTTTGGAAGCAGAACTATCAAACCTTTAACATGATTATTAGTTTGTAAAGTCAGCTTGTTATCAGTGAAACTGTAGTATATAAAATTTGAGAGTGGGGGTCCCCGGTATTTAGATTTGAAGTATGGGTTAAGTCATGGCAGATGCTCTGGACTCTGGAGATAATAAAAAATAGAAAATAAAAGTGAGAAGCAGCTTGAGCTAAGGCTACACAGTTAACGTGATGATGATATATAGACCAAGATGCTGGTGGGGAAGTATTGGGTGGGATGTGGGGGGCAGAAGAACCCCAGCCTGGCCTGCAAGCAGCTGCACGTTGGTGCTGAAGAATGTCAGGAACTTTTTTTGTTTTGGGGTTGAGTGGGGCATCTGCTTTGGCAATCAGAGGACCTCCTCACCCCCCTTCAAATGTCTTTCACTTTTTTTTCAAGCCTCATCCTGGAAGGAAAGAGGGAAGGAAGGAAGGTCAGTAGGAAGGAAGGGGGGGAAAAAATGAAAACATCTCTCTAGGAGAGCTGAAGCCATTAGGAATGCATGCTGAGTTTCAAAAACAGAGAACAGGGAGAAAGGGATAAAAATCAAATCAAGTGTAAAAAAAAGAAGATGAGGTTGGAAAGGGCTTTGCTATTTTGTGAAAAGAAGGACCAGGCCAAAGCATAATACTGTGCCAGGTTCCATTCAGACTAGACAAAGTAAATATAACCACTTGATGAAAAAGAGACAAGGGGGGTGAACGGATGGTGGAAAGAGTGCTCCAGGCAGCTCAGTATGAAGCTGTATATATGAAACTATGAAGATGAAGAGAAGGCTTTATGTATGCACTGTTTTTACAACTCAGCCTTATCTGATGGCTGGACACAGATTTAAAAAGATTATCACGGCATTGTCAAACGTGAAGTCACATCTGTGGGCGCAAAAGACACACAAAGAAAAGCAGAGGGAAAGAGACAGAGAAGCCCATTCATTTTCTTCTCCATTAATCATGTCTACTGTCATCTTGAGCTTTCCTTCTTTCTATGCAGGACTTCCAAAGTAATAATTTGGAATAATAAACAAAATCGGGTTAGCATTGAGCTAATCAAGTAGACCTGCTGCCGTTCCTGTGCCTTAGCCTCTGGCCTGCCCTCTCTTCTCGTAACCCAAACCACACACTAATTCATAAATTACAAACAAAGAGTCCCTTGTGGTTTGGGAGGGACCAGGACGGCACTGCAAACTGGCGCTACGGGGGAACAGCAACGCGTCAATTAGAGGGAAACTTGACTGGCAGGGAGAGGTGTGGACACAGCACACACTCACAGGCTAACACATTTAAAGTAGCTCAAACATGGAGGAATGAGCGCAAATTGCTGCATACACGTGGTCACAACAGACAGTAAAACACACACAAACACATATACACAAACACACAGAGACACACACACCGACAATTTGGAAGCCAGCTAAACAGCCTGGTCATTTTGGCATCCAGGAACTGACTGCACCATTGTGTGCTCTTAGCAGCTCACTGGTTTTCTCAGGCCTGTTTCCGAAGGGTGACGTGTGCGTTCGGGTGTTGTGCACGCACTGCTGGGAGTTAAACCCACATTTGTGTTCAAAGCAGGCTTCTGTAAAAACACACGGGTTGAAGTGCAGGAAGACTTGCTTAAATTGTACCAGTGGTTTAAACATTAAACATGTTTTCTAGTTTATCATTAAAGAAATGTAAGAAAAATGTGACAAGACTGAAAATTCTGGTCCAGCTTTGCTTTCAGGTTCCTATTGTCACACGATGTGTCTTTATTTTCCATGCTAAGGAAACTAATGAGAAGTTTGCCATCTGCCGTTTTGCCTTTTAGCCCCCTTTTTAAAAGTTTTGTTGGTTAATGTTCTTCAAGATGATTGAAAATGAAGGTAAAGGAGTATCTTTTGTGGCTAGCTCTTTCCGGCCATGCGGTAAACTATGATGTGAAATGGTTGCTGACTAAGTGTCATTAGATGACACAGGAGTGAGTGTTGGATTACAGTAGTTGGAGTCTTTATAATAGTGCTGGAGATTGCTGAGTCATTATCATACTTATCAAACCATTCAGTGACCCTGGTTCCCTATAGAGAAATTATTAGCAATTTCCATCATTGGAAATATTTTATCACTGGATAAAATAGATCACTTAAAAAATCTTTTGCAGTGACCATAAGAGAGCCAACCAGCCCTCTCACTATACTGGTTCATGTTTTTCTATTAGTTAAACAGACTTACGGGAGAAATACACAAAAGATTACTGATAAAATGACTTATTTTCTACACGATCAGCAGAAAATTAGTCAACACGTGATCAAATTTTCCTAATTTTTTTCTAGGAAAATCATAAAAAAAATGCTGTTAATAGGTTTACAAATGTTAAAGCTTGGTCCCTTTATCTTAATTTGATCTGAACACATCATCTAGTCATAACCTCAAGGCAAGCCCTGTTTGCTAGGCATTCCCCATTAGTCGATGAGCAATTGCTGGAGATCACTTTGCTTGCTAGTACATTATGATGGCATAGTTTGTATGAAAGAAGCTGACTTGCCAGCAAACACTCACCAGCTACTTGCAACTGCTGGTGAAACTCTAAAATGTGAGACGCAACAGAAACAGAAATAGAACAGAAACGCAGAGGGTTTATTTTTAAAGTAAATGTTGTGTGAACACTTATTGGCTTCAGCTTTAAAGCTTGTGAGTAGATGGCAAGTGTTTACATACAAATTAGTGACTTCAGTGCAAACTATGTGTGACTGTGGCAATCTGCCACAGCAAAAGGAAGCTTTTGATGCAACATACTTTTCTTGACTGGTTTCACCCAACAATAGACCAAAATCTGCAGCAGCCACCCGGCAACCATTTGGGGATACATCATTTTCCTAGCAACCTGAGTTTGCCTGGTTGTTGCCAACCAGTCTCTAACCAAACTTATCAATTAATACATAAAAATTATCTTTCAAATGGAAAATAACTGTTAGCTACATGCATGAGAAAGAAAGTGATCTTATAGAGTTTTGGAGTTAAGGTGGCCTATGTTTGGGGAGTTCATGCCACTACCCACTCTGAGTCAGCAGTAACCTTTTGGCATGTGTAACAACAAGTCAGTACTTTCTTTACAGTATTTTGCACCCTGTGCTTAATTACAGTGGAGTCTAACTGCTAACAGATCCTGTTCATTGACGAAAACACTGACCGTCCATAGAAACCCACACACAAAAGGAAAACCTGAAAACAGAGTTTCAGTCCCTCTATTAAAGGTACCAGTACAGAGTGAGACACACGTATTTTATAACTAAGTGATCTTATGATGTTTATCTAAGCTTATGTCTACAAATCTAATCTAGCTAACTTGTTTCTTCACATTTCACAGCCATCTTAAGACAGACTGCTGTCTTAAGTTCCAAATGCTTGGCACTCAGTCTCACACTATTGTATCCCTTCATACATTCTCAAATCCTTAACTGCAAGAGCTAAAACAGCAATAACATTCCTCTGCAAAAGGCAAAAGCAAAATAAGCAGACACAAAAGGACATAAAACATTTGAAGTTCAGAATGTAAAACTTTAACACAGATGAGGATTTGGAAGCCACAGGGAGTCCAAGGGATATGTAACACATGATACGCTGTGGATGTGAAACATAACCACTATTTACTTTGGTTTAGAGTTCAGTACAGTACACTTTAAAACTCTTTAACTATTACAAATTGCATCTCAGATCACATGCTTGTTTCCAAGTCTGAGGCAAAAGTGACCAGAGTACAGCGAAGAGATTTAAAAGCGTGTTCAGACAGGAGACCAGGTGACACTTACACACACATCGCTGAACGGAAAATCCTTTGCGGGTCCAAGCGGCAGCTTTCTCTTTGAGCGTATGTCTCTGTCAAACACTCCCCCCCCTAATCCGCCTCCTCTCTGTCCCGGCAAAAGAACTAGAACTGGCTTTGCCGTAAAAACAAGCGCTCACGTGAATAGTCCGCTGTGGGTCTAAACAGAATGAGAGAGCATGGCCCAAAAAAGGCAAAGAAAGGAAGGAGGGAGGAAAAAAAATAGCCCCTTTAAGAAGGTATGCTTCTTTTGGGTGACTCCCCCTTTTTAAGCCAAATGGAGTATGAAGAGAGTTTCCTCGTCTTTTCTTCTTCTCATCCGGAAAGACTAAGGCTCTGCTAATGCCTGGGCGCTTTTTGGTTTAGCCTTCCTTCCTACACTCAGTGAGAAAGAAAGTTAAACCTGGCTTTAGACAACTGGAATGTGACAGCAGGAGAGAGCAAGAGAGAGAATGAGGTGGTGAGGGAGGGAGAGAGAGAGAGTGTGTGCCTCAGAGAGGGAAGGAGAGAAAGACAAGGGACATGTGTAGTGTCCACCTACACAGCCCACTGCTGTGTGAGCGAGCAGTCAGAGAAGAGGTACAAAGGGGAGGGAAGGAGCAGGCAGGAGAGGAGGAGGGCTGTCTGAGAATGAGAGAAAGTAAGAGAAGCAATGAAAAGTTTGAGTGAGGCTCCAGGGAATGAGCTGAAAATTTCATTCAACTTAGGCTGGAAAACTGGGAATGCGGTGTGCCAGAGATGGAACATGCGGCTCCAGGCTGCATGTAAACAGACATGCACGGCTGCAGGGCTGGGCAGTAAGATCATACGTTCCATTAGACAAGATAGATTTGTCAGCAGTCAGCGGTTTGTCCATACTGATCATTTGTGTAACATGAAAGCATTTTTTCCCATTATTTTGGTTTCCTGACAGGAAGTTGTACCAACTAAGCAGCTTGTTGCTGAGATTTGGAAAGCAGATCACTGTGCTCATTCATAACTTCTCAGGAGAAACATTAGAAGATTCATGATCTTTAGAAAAAAGATCCTTTTGACAGAAACCGATATAATGAGTGTGTTTAAGAAAAACTTCTCTTTAAACTTAACTGATAATAATATCTCTAAATCCTTGGGTGCATCTTTGAACTCTAAGAACTGTGGGGCATGCATTTGCTTCTTAAGAAATCTAATGTCCTTCTTGAAGGACATTCAAAGCTCGTCATTGCATGTTGGCTTGTTTTTGTTCTGTTCTCTGTCAAGTCAAGATGACCCAACACTGCTTCAGTAACGTTGAGATGCAGGCTCTGGGGAGGCCAATCCATGACTGATAGCGATCCATTGTGTGTTTTTCTATTCAGGCTAACACTATGCCAAGTTTTTGGCTAAAAGCTCTTTCGTTGACAAAAAATGAGGGGAAAAGCAACCAATGTCCAAGGGCAACTTTGAAAGACCTTGACAGCCTGGCTCTTTGGAAGGAAAATATAAAGAAATGATGGGTGACTGAAGACTTTTGGATGTAGTTTTACATAGTACTGGACAAAAACTTGACAAGATATGATAATCATATTCTCAAAATACTAGCAAACCAAAAAATATGAAAGTAAATATGCATTAACTAGAAAATACATTTGAATTTTAATTTGTTTCTTGTAAACATTTGAATTTACACTTTATTTCCAGCTTAAGATATCCTGGGAATTACTCTCTTTGAATCCCCCCACCCAAGACTGCCCCCTCCGTTCACAAATATTCTGCCTTCTCTCTCTTCTTCTCTGTCTTTGTCCACCACAGAAAGAAAACTGAAACCAGCCACAGACTGGAAAGCATTAGCCTGCTCCCCCCCCCAACACATCTGATTCAACACTCCTCACACAAATGAAAACAAGAAGTATGGATCTCACAGAAAAAGCAGAGAGTAGTTTTTGCCATGGGCACACAATGACACGAAAACAGTAGTGTGCACCGTTTAACGAATGTGTGAAGCCGACAAAGTTGGCAGCAAATTCTCGTCCGGAGCTTTGCTTATTTTGCAGTTTCCAGCCCAACAAAGAAGCAGTTGCTCATTTGTGAACACCAAGCAAAAAGACCACAGGAAGGGGGCAGACGTTTGTGTTAGTGTGTACAGTTTTGTATATTTTATCTGAATTTGTCTTTACAACCATGCAAATGTGTGACTGTATGAATGTTAACTTCACTGCATGCTTCGATTTTCCTTCATTTGTAAAGGAGGTAAACAGCCCGCAGCTAAATGCAAAACATTCCTTCACTCTGGAAAGAGCTTCATATGTTTGGGGGCTGGAACAGTTACAGGGACATAAGTGGCAGCGGAGCGACAGACCCCAAAATGCTCATCAGAAAAACCCCTTATAACTAAATCGAACAGTCACGACTTTTATGTCACCAATTTGTATGAAACTGGTATAAAAATCTGGTTTAGGATAAACTTGTAATGTAAAAGTCTGAACAATGAAGCTAAATGGGCAAAACATCATATAGAGAAAAGGATTACCATTAATCATTACTAGAATCTAGTAATAAAACAGTCAATACACAGTCTTACATACCTCTGAGGTAATGCTTTGTTTCACATGAAGAATCTTTCTGAAGTAGTGACTATGTGTATGTTTCCCTCTGATTCTGGGCCTAATCAATGCCCTACAAACTACAACACAGAAACAATGCACAGTATTATCACCGTTTGGGTTTATCTTGTGTTTGGGTTAACAGATCATTACGCATATACAGACATGTGCAAACAGAGCTGTTGAATGCCTCAGAGGTTACAAAAGAGTTAACCTGACCCAGTGAGCGCTAACTGTAAGGTCTATCAAGTCACCTGTGCTATCTCTGTCTGTATCTTGCTTCTTCCCCGCCATGTTTACTAAGCTGTCTTTAGTGGGATCAAAGCGTCTGGCTGGCTCACAGTCCAGCTTCCGCTTTGCTACTTTTTTTTTCTCCTTCTGTTTTAATTTAAGGGGCTTTTTTGGTACCAGCCACAGTGAATAGCTTTGGATAGAAAACACTGCAGCACTGAGGGGAAAAACATAATGGCTGAGCTCTGACAATGCTCTTAATTTGCCTCGGTCATGGATGTTGGTCTCAGATACAAAGTTTTGCGGCATAAAGGATTCTTTTTCTTTTTACAGTTTTAAGCGACACAGTGAAAGAACAAAGGCGTTTTCGCTCTTTTTCACTTCTGACTGTAACCGGGCAAATTTGTGGGTTAGTGAAGTTTAGCTTTGCTTAAGTGCATTTCGCCTGGCAGACTGGGTGCTTTCTTAATATCTAGTTTAAGACACTTTATAAGTGCCACATCAGTTGCTGTAATGACTCCTGTTTATTCATGGTTTTCTTTAATAATCTTGCTTTTTAATTAAAAAAAAAGGCTGTTTCTCTCTGTTTTATTTTTTTCTTTTTATCTTGCATCGGATAAATTAAAGGCTCTAGAGTTTAAGTAGCAATTGACTTTTCCTTTAAACACATTCTGATTATGTGGCATGCAGCTTCGGTAATATGACATATTCTGGGCAGAAAAACAATGTTTACAGCTGAAGCTTGTGGCAGTTCAGTTGATTGCTTTTGAATACTTTGAATATAGCGTAAACCAAGCATTCCCAAAGTCAAAATTCATATTTCTTCTACGGATTGTATACAAAAGATGGTTGCTGCCAACACTTGAAACCTTGAATTAAGCATTGTGGTCATGTTCTTTTTTTAAACTGAATGTGTTTGTGCTTGACAGGCTCAAAAGGTACTTCTCAATCACAAGTCAGACTCGCCCTAAAGAATACACCCGCTTCATTGTTGATTTGACTTTAAATAAGACCGTCATTTACAGAGTGCACATTAGAAAGATTTAAAAATAGCAAAAAAAACAAAAACATAGACCATACAAAGGTCTATGGGGTTTGTTTCCTCACAGACTCTTGTAGAGTTGGGTTTCAGGGTTTTGTTTTTTTTGAAGACCCTTGTACTTTGGCTTCAGTTTTCAGACCTCCATGAGATGTCCATCTTTTAGAAGTTACAATTTTTTCACAAAGAGACACTCTGTAGCCTCTTATGGTAATAAAAGGTAGATGTACATAACATGGGTCTAGTGCCTTAAACCTGCATTCTAGCCACTAGGGGGTTCTAGAAAAGTCTATAGGACAACAGCACTTCTGGCTTGACCATTAAACACTTTAATGGCTCAGAAATGTGGGAATATGACAAAGGAAAGAGGGAAAAGACACTGACAGTGCCAGACATACCCAGTGAAAGTGCTTGATTGTTTTCTTTGAGTTGTTGAAACATCTGTGACTGGTGAGAGGGAACGAAACCAAAGGCAAAAGGGGGAAAGAAAAGTCATAGAAACTATGAGAACTTTAACAGAAAATGTAACACCTTTTCTTCATGTGTGCTCAGATGTGTGTGTCGATGTTTATCTATCACGGATTGGCCTCCCCAGAGAGCTGTGGGACCATCTTGACGGAAAACGGTACAAAAGGCAGCCAACATCCAAACAAGAGCTTTGAATGTCCTTCCAAAAGTCTGGAGTCCTGAAGACTACTTGAAGACATTAGAAGAAAGTCTGCCTAAGAGAGGTTGTTCTGTGTTGAAGAATAAAGATGGTCGTGCCAAACTGACTTTCAAGCTTGTCCGAAATGAAAAAAATTCTGGTTTTGCCCCACTTACCGTCTTTTCATGTATGTTTGCACTGCTAGTTTCCATTTCCTAGCAAAATATAAAGATATGAACAATGGATCAAGACTTTTGCACAGTACTGTATACCTGGTAAATCACATACATCGTTCAATGCTTGTGCGCTCTAGAGTGACAGCAGACACCAGATGCTGTGAGTCAGAAAGACATGGTGTAAGCCAGACATCAGCTGACTGAACATGTTGGCAAAACATGAAACCCGCAAGCTCTAGTGTCAGCAGACTACAAGAAACTCCTCACATGTTCTTCATCCTCTTCCAAAGAATACTTTTTACATTAGCCTGTGACTTCACCAAGCTACTGTAGATTAGTGGTGTGTTGAAGGGACAAAAAAGGTCAGCAAAGATGATGTTTTACTAGTCAAAACCAATGCCATATATGGCTATTGGCTAAACCCACAACAACTACTATTAAGGCAACACACCCACACAGGTCAGGCCAGGTCACGTGCTTTGTGTTTTCTCGCTGCAGTGTTCATGAGTGTGCCAGTTGTGGCAGTTATCACGGGGTTTCTGCAGAGTCAGGCTTGTGTTACAAGGCTGGGGAGCATTTAGAGCTGCCTCTATGGCCTTTGTGCTCACTTCTCCGCTCACTAAACTCAGACGCAATACAGATCACATTTTCCAGGTTTACTGGTTGTATTACCCTCATAAAATACTCAATGTGTGGGGTTAGTTATAAGGTGTAAAATGGCATAATCGTGCAATAAGCAGAGTCGTCTGACGTTACCTAGGAGGTATTTAAGGGTAAAGTTAGGTCGTGGATAAGTTGTTGATGCCGTACTTGGTACATTTGCATTAGGCCAGCTGTAGCAGAGCACACCTCTGCTGGAAGTGCATTCAGGTGAATACATAGTCAAGGAATTCTTTCTTTCCTTAAGCCATGAATATACAGTGTGGACACACTATGGAACCTACTTAAGTGGAATAATAAAATATTTGTACAACTCCAGCTTACAGGAAATTTGCTTTCATTTTTGCATCCTGAAAGCTCCTTTGTTCAAACTAATAATGAAGTCACAAGCTGATGCTGAGTCATTCATAATAAAAACCAAACAGGATGAAAGAAAATTAAATAACGGTGATGGTTATTTCCAGAAAATGTATAAATAAGTCCTTAAGAGCAAAACCTAGCAACTTGTGCCTTCATACTCAGACGAGCCAACAGTAAATATATTTATTTGAAGATAAATAATCTTTTGATCATCGCATTCACCATGATCATATTTTACAAATGACTTTTTCTTTTTTTTAATATGCCTTAAAAACACCTGAATTAAAAAAACTAGCAAGACTGTTATTGATGCTAAAGATTAAGAATTTAGGTGAATACTCAGATACTAAGCAATATTAAAAATTGCTATCAGATTAGATAGTCATTTAAAACAGTATTGATAGCAACAGCGCCATATTCGCCATATGCCCCTTCCCTCACTAGCAGCTGAAATGACTGACATTCACAGCACTGAATAACAATTTATGAGGAATTGAAATATTACAATTCACAGTTATCATTAATCTTAATTTGGCCAGCACACATGCTACCATTAGCCATTTAGCTATTAGCAATTTCTCAACAGCCACATTAGCTGCTGTTTGTCACTGTGGCTAATAATAAAATTACAGTGTTAATGTTGGAGCTAGGCAGCAAACATGATCAGTCCTGCTCGTCTGAAATGTTAATAGACATGATTAGTTTAACAAGATAATGCAATTATATTCATCTTAAAAGTTTTATGTTTGTTATACTTTGGTATATTTTGGGACATATGACCACCAGTCATACAGCTCTAGGATACGCTCTAAGGGGGAATGATGGGGCCCAGCAGCAACTACTGGCTGCCCAGCTGGACTGCAGCTCTATGCATGAGAGCCTAAATAAACATCAACCTCAGTCTCTTTGCTGACAGGACATGAATGTGTGTGGGGCAGCCAGAGGAGTTTGTGGCTACCAGCGGTCGCATGTGTTCCTCAAGTATCTATGTCCATGTGTATTTGTACGTATGTGCGCGTGAGTGTTCGTGTCCACATAACCAACTTGGAGAATTCAAACCCTCAAGTTTCTGAATTACATCTTTATCTTCCTCTCTTTCCCCCAGTTACATCTAAATCAGCCCCCGCTGAGCTATGTCTGGCAGCCACGGCCTCCACTGCCCATCCTTTGTCCGTTAAAAATACCATCGGTGCACTCCAGTGACCACACCTCCATATATCTCTGTATTTCCGCATCGCACTAAAGTTCAAATACTACAAGAAAAAAGATTAAGAAACAAATGTTGAAAACATAATCACTGGTTTCTTTTATTCTGTGGCTGTTCATAAAGTTAGACTGCAAAATAATTGTACAAGTGAACTACCAAATCACTATGGAGTGTACATGTTTTTGGCACATGTAACTGGCGTGATAGACAGCACGGCGGCTTATTTTTGACTGTGAGGGGCACTATGAAACCACATATACTCGACTTTTATTACTCGACTTTGTATTCCACTGCTAAAGAGGAAATGATTTGTGTTTTTAGCACCATTTACATGTCTGTGCACCTTTGTATGAGCAACATTATGCAAAAAACTACCCATCGGAATTTCATAAAACTCGGTGAAGAGGTGGGGCATGAGCAAACAAAGACTTCTGAAATGACTTATTGTCTTTTAAAATCGCATGATAGGACACCAGGCTTGGTGTAGGATCCACGCTGAGTGAAGTATTTACAAAGTCTACATTAGAAAACAAATAGAAAATAATGTTTATCTGAGCATCTACATTTTGACCAGCTCTAAGAAAATGACACCAAGCCATGAACTGAGATAAACTTAGCTCATTAGCTCTACTTCATTGCTTCACTTCCATGTTTGGTCCAAAGGCCAGAGAAGTGGTGGAAGTTCTTTATATCAAGAACACATAAACTATATTAATGCACTCATTATACTTTCATTAGGATTTTTGAGGGATCCTATGTCCATTATGTGGTTTCAACCTCAGGGTTAGAACAGGGCATTTTCACAGAGCTCCCAGTGCAGGAAGACCAGACCAGCTAAATGCCATAATCGATCAATTTCCTACTCAGCAATTAGACCTGGTCCTCGAGCTTTCCATAACCTTTTATCCCCCTAAAGCCTGTGCTACATGGTTCAAAAGAGGCTGTGTGGCCTGATCGACATGACCCATTATAACACACCTTTGAGATCTGAAGCTTTAATAACTCTCAGGCAAGGAGAATAACTGTGCATTGGGTACTGGGAGACCCTTGACACTTGAAAGAGAAAGATTCCTCCAGATAAGATCGGATTAGCATGGGGGGTCCATAAATCATGTTTTTGCAATAATTCAAAGACAACACCGTGTTTGATGGTATAAAGACATGCACATACAGAAACAGGATGCCTTCAGGCTGTCTGGAAAAAGAGGGTTATTGGCAAGATGGAAGAATTATGTTGCAGAGCTGCAGGACAGGCATATTGAGCTCTTCTAACTACACATTGCCAAAATATTTCCACCTACTCTGTATTAAATATGCATATAGATAACTGTTGAGTGAGGCAGTTTTTCATTCCAACATCAAACATCTTGACAAAGTAACTAATGAGTCATAAAGGAAGATTGTTCAAAGCAGTCGCAGCGGAACTTTGCTTTCTGCAGAAAGCAGACTCATTCATCAATCTTCAGGAGGAGAGAGGCAAATACTTTCAAGCTTAGCCTATGAATAATTTGGAATACAGGAAGCATTCTTACACATATATTTTAAACATCATCTCCTTAAAATATTCAAATGTTAAATGAACTGCACTCAGTTGGACTCCTGGAGAGAAAATAAAGCTTAGGGATGATGTAAATGATGCTTGACGTAGTGGCTGTGCAGAGTGTGTATGTGTGTATGTGTGATCTACTGGTAGACTGATGGCAGGTTCCAGGCCATTTGCTGCGGTTTAATTCCTAAAGAGTAGATCACCCCTGGGGTTGTATGATGAAGAAGCTGGAGCTTGGACCCTGATGGAATTATAAATCAGAGGCAAGCTGAGGGCGATAACGAAGGGTGGATGACTGTGTGTGTCTGTGTGCGAGGGAGAGAGAGAGTAGACACGAGTACAGAGGTGTCATGACTTTTCTTTTTTTTTTCTTTTTTATCTGAATTTTGACTGAAACTGAGAATTCTGACTTTTTCCCCTCAGACGTCTAACAATCTATTTCTGACTAATCTGTAGCTCCTAGGGTAGTGGTTGTAAATGGTGCTTGACAGTGGTGTGTCTGTGTGTGTGCGTGCGTGTGTGTGTGTGTGTGTGTGTGTGTGTG